CTTCCCAAGAAAACATCCAATCGCGGACGAGCCTAGTTGAGCAACATATCAAGAATGGTACCTACGACGAACGAGAATTCTTCGTCGTCTGAAATGTAATGTGATTGAAAACTATCTTATCTCTCCTTCGCTTTTATGGAAGAGATCCCATTATCACTCCTCAATTATTTTTTAACTAAGGTCAAACAATGTATGACTCACTCGTAATAATTGATTTAGGTAAATCATCTAGACGTGACTCGCATCCGAAACTACCAATGCCAAATCTGGAGCATTGATCATGTAATTCGGAACATGTGAGAATTTCTCACATTTTGCGTGAACTTCTTCACAGGATCATTATTTAGTTAGCGAAAAGTGAAAATAACTTAAACGAGTTAGAGAATAGAGGTTAAATAAATTCGCAAACACTTGTAAATATTCAATTGACAAATATATTATGATGCTAAATGGAGCACAGCCAAACACAGCTGATTACTGAGTTTACTGACTAAGCACACTAGCGCTTATCTTCCATTTTCTTCCGTACAAATTTGTAGTACAATTATCTATTGCGAGAATGCTGACGTGTTTTCCAAGTTGTGCTAATTCCCGCGAGGAGGCGGTAATCTTCAAACATTTTATTTATCAAGTGATTCGAGTCAGAATTAGGTTATGTTGAAATAGTACACGTTTGTGAAACAAACTTGTAGTAATTTAGGAATAAATATATGTACATATTTCTTAAAAAATCTGATTATACAATGACTGAATAATAATTTTCAATCGATGCTTATCAATGATAAATTAACTTTATTCAACTAATTGATCTGTTTTATTGACAACTAGGCACTTATTAAGGAGAGCTCTCTGAGAGAACGGAGTGAGGATAAATGATAAATATGCTCAAACTTCCGAGATTATTAGTAAATCATATGAAAGCGTTAGCGACACCCACGTCGTCTAGTAATGCGGATTATTTGTCACAGCAAACACGGGTAATTGCTTTTATTATTACATATATATTAATATGTTGTTCTTTCCAGCAAGAAACATAATACAATGATCTTTTCATTTTTGTTTAACATTTGCAAACATAAATAAAATAACTCACTGTGTTATACTGTCATCTGTTGGTGCTTTTTATTTGTTGATGACACAAATTGACACAAGTGTCGATTTATCTTTGTTATTGAAGTCTAGAATAGAAAGATAAAATGTGACGCTTGTGTCGACTTGTGTCAATAAATGGAAAATACTTTGTGTTTTTGCTAGAAAGCACTTTAAAGCCTATTATAATGTGCTTTTTGTTTCCTGTTTCTTGCTTTTTACTATATTTTATATCTAGTTTTCTTGCTTCTTAGCCGGTTTTATGTTTTATGTCGCCCGAGATAAAAATTAACGAAAGAAATAAAGAAATACGTAGCAAGAAATATAATTGTCTATAAAACGATTGTAAAGGAGAAAAAAGTAAAAGATAAAAAGAAACAGAAAACAAAGGATGCTTTGTAGAATAGGCTTAAATGGAAAATACCTTGTATTTTTTGCTGGGAAACACTTACTGAATTTGTACCACTACTGAATTACGTATTAAATTAGTATACAATAAAAAGGTTGTTTTATATAAAGTATCTAAATACAGTGACACATAATATAATTAACTTTGGCAATGAAATAATACATATATATTAGTTCATTTATTCATATAGTGATCTTGTTCTTAATTAATTTCATATATATTCTGTTAAATAATGTCACATGTCATTACCAATTAGTGTATTTTTTCTCAATCAGTATATATATATATATTTTTTTTATAATAAATTAAATTAAATTAAATTAAAGCTAAATTATTGAGTATTTATTTTTGTAAATATTTATATGCTTTTATATTTTACTTTAGTAATTTATATTATATATTATAGTAATCATGTACAGCAGTTTTGAATATGCATAAATCTAATGTAATACAAGACCAAATTTTCTAATTACGTATTTTGTAATTCTTAAGATAGCTTGATAGATTCTTACATATATAGATTATTAAACTGTTCTCGTATTTATTTTTTTTTTAATTTTTTGTAGAATACTTTTATTCTCAAAAGAAGAAATCCAGTATCTCTTCACAAGAAGAATTGCAAGCCCCATCGCCTAAGATCAAGACATTTCATTTACGATCTTGTTGAGGATACTAATGTAAAGAAAAAAGAACCACTCGATTTGATTCTGACACAATATGTGAAAGGACTTGGCAATATGGGCACTCGAGTGTCGCTACACCCAACGATAGCGTATTCAAAGCTTTTACTGCCGAAATTGGCGGACTATGCTACTCCCGAGAACATTGAAAAGTATACGAAATTGGCGACAGATCAAGAAGATGGTAAGTCGTTCAGTTCTTCCTTGGTAGAGAAAACAATGAAGTATCTATCGCGGAAGCGGATATCCATAGTGATGTCAAAGGACGTGCCGTGGACGTTGGAAAAGTGGCATATCAAAGCAAATTTCCGCAAGGCTGGTATTTATCTACCTGAGGACACTATAACGATGCCCGAGAAACCAATATCTGGGCCGAACCTCGATTTACAAGGAAAGGAATTTTATGTGACTATCACGATTAATAATCGCGAACAGGTGAAGGTGAGATGTTGTCTGCATCATTGGACACCGGAGAGTTCTTCACAACTTTACGTCAATGAGTTCTGGAAGCTGCCAACCGATCCGATATTTCCCGAAGACAAGCAGATTTTAGATTCTCTTCCTTCGTTCTGGGTGGAAAGGAAGAAAACAACACATTTTTAATATGTTGTATTATAATATAAATAAATAACGCTTAATAAGAGTGAATGAGTTAATAAGTTTTCTTAGAAACTCCTAATTTGGATATATATATTTTTTAAACCTGTTCTTTTAGTTACATCTGCACGGTTTATCGGTTCTCTTTTTTTTTACATTGGAAAAAAAGAAAAGATGAACTATGCAAAAAGTTCAGTTAAAAAAAATAGACCTCTAGAATTCTTTGCATAACTATGATTGTATTTATATTTAACAATATTATTATAATATTGTTTCAACGCGATAATTATTATATTTTTTCATAAAATTTAATCAGAAACTTTCAATAATACCTCTAACTGTTATATTCTAAAGAGATTTGGAAGTCTAATAAGCGCTTCAAGTATATATACTTGCATGGGGAACTATATTTTCCTAGATCAATAATTTGACTCTGTTATATCTTCATTGTGATTAGGAGGAGAGCATGTCTATTTCTAGAAACTATGATAACCTGAAAATGTGCTTTGAATAAAATCGTGTGAAAATTATATGATATAATAACTCAATATGGGTGAAAGGTACTTTGCATGGGATGAAATTTTGGAAGGATTAATTCTTCTTGGGTAATTTTAACTTCAAATTTTTCGTCTCATATTTATAATACAGTTTAACTATTTTTTGTAGTTTTTTTTTTGTTTGTTTTTTAATTTACAAGCTTCATTTAAAATGAGTATACGATATAATTTAATATTCCATGATAGAACTTTTAGATAGAGAAAAGATCGACATAAATTATTTTTATCTGCGAATAATTGTCCTAAACGTTAATGCATTTTTTTATATCACTTTAATAAAGATTTTCTAAGATTTTTTATTTATAATTCCTAAGAAAGAAATAAAAACATTTTATAAAATCTTTCAGATCTTATATTTCATTACAATTATTAAAGAAT